ACACTAGACAAATAAATCTACAAGAGACATATCACGATAAATCTGAAGATCACCTATTCTAGAAAGCCATATCAGACCACTGCTTTATAATTGGATATTGCCAATCTGATGACATCTTTTCATAGAGAAGTGAAAAAAAAGAAAAAAAATACTAACACTTATACTAATACTAAAAAAAAAAAAAAAAAGAACAAAAATAAAAAAATCAAATAGTCACAATTATAAGCCTGTGTCAGACTAACAAAAATTATATATTACAAGATAAAGAAGCTCTGTATCTAACTCTATTTTAATAATATATCTAGTCCACATTAGAAAAAAAAGAAAAATAGTAGATTTAAACTAGACTAGACAAAGTAGTAAAAGAAAAAACACTAATAGTCTCGAAGTATTGTTTAAATGATTTCTTTTGATCGAAATATATTGCCTAATTGTGTTGTCCTTCAGATGTGTTTAGTTGCTTAATCCGAACATCTATCGATTTTGTATTTACTAAAACTAAACAACTCATTTTAGAAGAGCCAACACATTTTGAGTTAGATAAACAATACTGACTGTTTTAGAAAATTACATGTTGATCTTTTGGAGGTGTAAGCTAAGACACCCACTTTTTGACAAAATTTTCTTGAAAAAAGTGATAGGCTAATAAAATTTTGTAGATTCTTCCTTGTAAGTTTTATGGTTGTATAGATACTATCTCTAGTTTTTTTAATATACTTAGTACTGACCTAGTCATTTTGTGTTTCCAAAATATTTTTCTGGTTCGGATGCTGAATATAATAGAGGAGTCCATCTAGCAAAAAAGTTTGACTTTTACAAAAACTGTCCAAAGTAGTTTACTTCTCAGTTTTACACTCTTGGTACTTTGTCAGCAACACACCTACTTGTATAGAACCAAGTATATTATTATCTTTTAATATCTTCTATAACACTAACCATAGTTTAGTTTTTTAAAATTGTTGATTAGAGGACTGTTAAAAAGAGTTTGCTGATAAAAATTGCTAATATAAATATATTATATATATATAATTTTAAATTATATAATAAATTGTATAATATAAACTGTAACTACATATAAATAGTATTGATAGTTGTATATATATATATATGTATGTATTTCAACAAATCAGAATTATTTTATATCTAAGCATTTACAATAATAAAGGTTTTTATTGGGATTATCAAAGTTCTGTTTAGTTTTGTTTGATCTTGTTATATTGAAATTTAGTTTTAAGCATTAAACTAAAACCCAACAGGTTAAACAAGATAAATTAATATATAGTTAGTATTTAAATCTATAAAATACCAATGTGAATTCATCAAGTAATACTTAGCTTTTAGTATCCAAAATAAGAGTGTGAGCTTCTGATATAGTGATTGTTAGTAAAATAAAAGTAAAAATTCTAAATTAATAATAAAATTGCTATATTTACTTAAATTATATACCTCAAGTATAAGAGTCTAAAAAGTGCTAACTTGTTATTTTTTGCTTCGCAAAAGATAGTTGATGCTTTCGTTACAGCTATTGTCTTCACTTCAATATTTTTTTACTAAAGCCCAGGAACCAAGACTTTTATATTGTTTTACTCTAATCTAACTTTCAATAAATAACATTTTTTAGGATTTTTGGTTAATGTATTTGTAGATTTAAAAAAGATGCCAGCCTGTTATCCTTTGCAAAGCAAAGGATAATTGATGCTTTCGCTATAGCTGTTGCCTTTACTCTAGCATTTTTTTACTATAGTCCAAAAACCAAAACTTTCATATTGTTTTACCCTAAACCTAACCTTCAATAAATAACATTTTCTAGAATCTTTGATTAATGTATTTGTAGATTCAAGAAAGATGTTAGCTTGTTATTCTTTGCTTCACAAAGGATAGTTGATGCTTCTGCTATAGCTGTCTCCTTTGCTTCAGTATTTTTTTACTATAACCAGAAACCAAGACTTTCATATTGTTTTATACTAAACCTAACCTTCAATAAATAATATTATTAAAACTATAATTATTTAGAATTATAATTCAATTTGATACTCAATAATTAGAAATTATATCTTATAAATTCTAACAATACAAGTTTACACAATTTGAAATGTTGCGAATATAAAAATATACAATCTAGAATCTTATATGGATTTGTTATTAAAATAATAAATGCTAAACAAATTATTACTCAAGTTATATAATTTAAAAAACAAAAGAATACTTGACTAAATATATTAAAAATGTTATGTTTTCTATCAGTAGTATTCCCTAATTAACATTAATGTTTTCTTTACAAATTGCATAATTATAATTTTATACCCACAATTTCTATATGTCTTTCTTTTATCTTTAATTAGACTTTTAGATTCTAAAATATTATTATTATTAAGATCAACACCTATTGATTATAATGCACTAGTTCAATTTAATTTTTTATTTTAGATTTTCAAAGAACTTTTAATTTATCCTGCTAGTCTACCTTTTCTTATAGTAATGATTAGATTTTGCATATTTAGATACAAATTATTCTGTGCTTCATAATTATATTTATTGAGTAGTTGCTGTTTATTAAGTATAAACTCTTAATAAAGTTTGATCATTTCTTTATAAGAACCAGTATCTTATATTAGATCAATCATTTTGCACATTATATCTTAAGCTCATCTATACTTCATTTGATTGGTATTGATTTGTTAAAGTTTAGATATATAAACCTTATTATCACAAAGTTGTTTAATGTATGACAAATTAAGGCCACTCCAAATTGATTCTTTGTTTAACATAACATTAAATAGTTTATAAGAATGGGGAGGAGGGTGTGAAAAATATACAAATTAAAAAAAACAGCAATTTTATTGGTTGATTTAATATGTGTTAGTTATATAAAATTAAAAAATTGAGAGGTGTAAATACTATTAATTACTATTAATAAGTATTGGGTTTATATAAATTTTAAAAAATAGAGTGAGGTTATGTTAAATGAAAAATTAAATTGGTCTGGTCTAAAGTCTAATATATTTTCTATTTTAGATGAATCTTTGTATATTTTAATTGATGACTATTGTATAAAGACTTGGTTGAGATTTTAATTTTATTATCTTTATACCATTACTCAGATATGAGGCTTATGTGCCATTAGACCCTTATTGAACACTATAAAATTTTATAAAAATGTCTGCAAGGATATCTGTGTATAATTAAAAGATTGCATATACATCTATAAGAGCTATCAAATATTAAAATAATATATTGAGATTTCAAGCTACCAGAAATTGCTAGCCGGTATATTTCTACAATATTGGTTTGATCAATTGTTAAAAGAATTTCCTCAAGAAGAATTTTAGAAATTTCATAATAATTTTCTATATATCTTCAATACAATATTGATCTACTTGGTTCTATCATATAAATATGTTGAAATATATGTATACCATCATTATAATACAATATAAAGATGGAATTTATATAGTTTAATAAATGTTATACAGTATAATTCCCAATTTTAACATAGGAGAAATTATATTTACCTTGATAAGATTATTGTAACTCATACTATCCACCTTATAGGCATCATAAAAAAATATTCTTGCATTTGCTGAGATATGGCTATAACTATAGAAAGCATAAGAAACTCAGTTACTATAAATTCGATTGACTGGAAAAACTAGTTTAGAACCATTATCATTCTAATAGTAGGTATTTGATTTTTGTATTCCTTTATCCAAATATACTCAGCTTCTTTATTAAGAAGTTCTTGTATTTCTTTTGTAAAATATAAAAGTAATAATTTCTTTTATATACAATTGTAAACTTTTTAATTGAGGCTTTCTATACATTGTATTATATTAGCACCAGCAGTAAATAGAGCATTATTATAACAAGCAGTCTATTTAGTTTTTAAAGGCTCTAATTGATGTTTGATATACTTTACAGTTTGTGAGTATTTTACTTTTAAAGATTGCTATCAGTTTTCAAAAAGGTTAATTGATAAAGTATTGTGACAAAAGAAAAAATCAGTCTCAAAATGTTGAAGTTCTTTGGATTGAAACTTTTCTTTAAGATTTTTTTTTAAATTAATACCAATGTGATATATACACAAATAATGATTTAAATTAGAAAACTCAAGTGCAATAGCATTTGCTATAGCAAGATTACAATCAGTAAATACTACTCAAACTATAAAACTGCCTGTATATTTATTGATCACTGATAAAGCCCACACAAAGGATTCTTGTATCTCATCTTTTAAAAGTATAGTGGTAACCAAATGAGTATGATTGCAGTTGTCGATAGTAGCAAAGAAGCAAGCTATCATATTATACCTTTTAGTATGTAAAGTTGCATCAAAGAAAATTATGTCATGAAAATATGTCCAAACATGTTGTTTAGGTGATATCCATATAATCTCACATAGATGATATTTAGAACAATTAAACTTTGGTTCTATAAACTATCTAGAGTTTTTACTTTTTTGATTATATAGATAGCATAATATATCTGAGGCATCAAATTCTAAATAAGGATTTATCTTTTGTTTTGTAATTTGAATGATATTATAAAGACTTTTTTGATATATTTTTCTACCAGAAAATTTTTTCTTAAAAGATTACATATGTTTCAAGCCTCAGTAGTATCATGTATAACACAAAATTCAACAAATTCTATTATGTCACTTCCTAGTCTATAATATTTGGATATATTTACTAAAGGGATAGTGTCATTATGTAGTTATGAGTATTAATAATGGTAGTAAATGAAACATATATGGCTGATTTAGACATATTTTCATTAATATACTATGAACAAACTGTTTTCTAAGAAGTCTTATATTATTGTTGTTAGGAATCAAGTGTTTTTTTTAGTTAATATTTTTCAGAATGGCTATACTCCCATCTTATTTTTCTAACTACCTTTCTGTTATCTGCTTTAGTCCCTTTTCTACAGACATTGAATTCTTGCTGTATTCTATAATCATTAAGAAACATCTCAACATCCTCCTATGTCTGAAAAGTTTGTTACTTCATAATTTGTAAGCATGTATCATCAGATTTCTGATCAGAAGAATCAGAATCAAATAAATGTTGTGATTGTTCTTCTAGCATATTATTTTGATCTTTTGAAATATCACTATCTACAAAAATATTTAATACTGAACTTGATTCAGAAGATATAAAGAGGTAATTTGTATCATTGTTTTGAGAATTAGTTATATCTTCTTCATATTAGGTCTGAAATAAAGAATAGAACCTCCATATTTGTTCTTGATCTGATAATAAAAGGTTTATGGATTAAAGTAATATCATGTTATTATAAAAGATAGTTGTTTATAAATGCTTGTTTTCTTCTTTTTTCTATAATTTGCTAACAATACAATCTGCGTACACTGCTTTACAAGATATTCTATATTAAAATAAAAAAATAAGATATAACTCAAGCGAAGGATATGATATAATTCACATGATAAATAAGGTATAACTCAAATAAAAAACTTAAGCAAAGAATTCAAATGAAGAACCCAAGTAAAATATTCAAGCAAAAAACTCAAGCGAAGAGTAAAGCTATAGTATATACAAAGAATAAAGTATAACTCAAGTGAAGAACTCAAGCTAAGAATAAGATGTAACTCAGGCAATAAAGAATTTTATATTTAGCAAAAGAATAATATGTGTACAAGCGACAGAATAACATTATATTAGCAAAAAAAAAATTATAATATAAGAGTAAGTGAAAAAAATTTATAATAAAAGGATAAGCGAAAATAATTTATAATGTAAGAACAAGTGAAAATAATTTTTACTCAAGCGAAAAAGGTTCTTATTTATTTATAATTGTTATCACTAGTCAAATATAAAAAATTCGACCACCGAATGAAATGGCCAAATCAACCTGAATTCGACTGTCGAATATTTGGCTGATATTATACCGAATGATAGAGTAAATCAGTAGCTAATAGACAGTTGAATGCTAATAAAAAATCGGCAACCGAATTCAGGTCGAAAATTTCAATCAACAACTGATT